GACGCTCAGCCACTGAGCTACACCGGCCGTAATGTATTGATTTGAGATAGAGAGACGCAAAGAGAGAGAGGGAGAGAGGAACATGGACCCATTGCTCCACCCATGAATGCTCTGATTGGTTAATTCCTGACCGAGAGGGACCACAAACCCTGGTGTATCGGGTGACACTCCAACCAACTGAGCCGCCCGGCCACGTGGACGTCACGTCTTCGTGGGAGAAATGGCGTCACACTGCCAAGGGGGTTGACACAGGGAGGTGGGTCAGGGTCCCGGTCACCGGTCACCGAAGTCGCTCAGAGCCCTGGAGCCGGGCGCCTCTGCCCAGAGGGGCCCTTTCTCCCCTGAAATCACAGACCCCGCCTGCCCTTGCGGGGAGGTCGCAGGAGAAGCTGGGTGCCCGAGTCAGCTTCAGAGGAAGCCGGTGGCTGGTGCTGGCACCTGCTGCTCGGGGCTCCTTGGGCTCGGGGCCTAGTGGGGGGGAGGAGAGGGCGTGTACGGGAAACCGGGGTCCTGACCTCCTCACCCAGCAGCCCTGGGCTGGCTTCTCTCCCATTTGGGCAGATGCACTGCCTTTGTGGAAATCGCCCCGGGCCTTGTTTCCTCCCAGGTCCTGGGGCCACCTGTCCCTCTGTTCCTCCCTGGAGGCATGTAGGGGCCGGCCGAGCCCTCGCCCCAGGCCCACGGGACCCAGGAGCAGGCATCCGCCCGTAATTGAACCCTGACCTCCTGGTTCATAGGTTGACGCTCAGCCACTGAGCTACACCGGCCGTAATGTATTGATTTGAGATAGAGAGACGCAAAGAGAGAGAGGGAGAGAGGAACATGGACCCATTGCTCCACCCATGAATGCTCTGATTGGTTAATTCCTGACCAAGAGGGACCACAAACCCTGGTGTATCGGGTGACGATCCAACCAACTGAGCCGCCCGGCCACATGGACGTCACGTCTTCGTGGGAGAAATGGCGTCACACTGCCAAGGGGGTGGACACACGGAGGCGGGTCAGGGTCCTGGTCACTGCAGTCGCTCAGAGCCCTGGATCCTTCACTCATTCTGCAGGGATTCTGGGCTCAGGGGAGGCCCCACAGTGACCAGACCGACACTTGCTGTGAAAATGCTCTTTATTCAGCTCATCCACGACCTGGCAGGGCAGCTGCAGCCTGAGCAGTGGGTTCTAGAAGGACAGGAAGGCGGCCCCTGGGGAAGGCTCACTGCTGCCTGAGGCTCCCGGACACGCCCCTGCCTGCCTGACCCTCGGTCCAGCGCCCAGCCCGGTGTTAGGAAAACCGGCCCCTGACTTCCCTCCCCCACCCCAGCCCCACCCGGTGCCCGGCAGAGCGGGCAGAGACTGTGGGCACGAGGCTCGGGCACCCGTTGCTTCCTGTCCCCTCGGGTCCGGGCCCTGGGGTGGGAGCCCCGCTCTGTGCATTCCAAGTTCACACTGCGAGGAGGTCGGTCAGGACAAGCCGGTGGACACAGGTGGGGCGGTGGTCGCAGGGCAGGCGATGCCCTCAGAGCTACTTGTCTGGTGGGAGGAAGAGGAGTGAGGGCGGGGAGTGCCCAGGGGGAAACTGAGGCCAGTGGGAAGGGCGGCCGAGGGCGGGCAGAGCGTCGCTGTGTCCTGTGGGCCCGGGAGCCAGGGGAGGGTTTTGGGGTTCAATGTGGCTGAAGGCTCCCAGTGGACAGGGTCGGGGAGCGGGAACATTGCAGCCCAGTGGGGAAATGGGTACATGGGTCCCAGGCCAGGGGAACCCGGGCCCCAGAGACTGCGGCGCCCGTGGGAAGAGGGGTAGGAAAGGAGCAAGCAGGGTCCCCGTCGGCCTCAGGCACCCACCCCCTGCCCTGCTGCCCTGGGGGTGCCCTGCCCTGTGCTCACTGGCCACAGGTAAGCTTTCTGGGGGTGGGGGGTGGGGGGGCTTTAATCTGTTTTTCTTTTTCTTTTCATTATTTTTTAAAAATATGTTTTTATTGATTTCAGAGAGGAAGGGAGAGAGAGAGAGAAACATCAATGATGAGACAGAATCATGGACCGGCTGCCTCCTGCTCGCCCCACACTGTGGACAGAGCCTGCAACCCAGGCCTGTGCCCTGACCGGGAATCGAACCCTGACCTCCTGGTTCACAGGTCCTCACTCAACCCCTGAGCCACGCCGGCCGGGCTTGATTTGCGTTTAGTTCTCTGTCTCCTGGCACCCGGGAGGCCTCCAGGAGGTGGGCGTGGAGTGAATGGATGAGGAAGGACAGAGCCTAGAATGGGCCGCACCTGGGGACAGCCTGAGCTCGGACACGAGGACAGAGAGCGGCCAGCGGTGTGTGACCTGCGCCCAACGGGACACAGGCCGCTGACAGCTACGCTCCCCACACCCACCCTCGCGGCCCCGCCTAGACCCCACTTCTTTCCCTGGGGACTGTGGGGGGTTAAGGCGGACAGGAGTGACCATGTGGTCATTGATGTGTTAATATCGGTGACGACAATGATAGTAACAAAAGCCACCACCACCCCCTCACAGTCCTGACGGGGGCGGGGGCGGGCGGGGGGCGCGAGCAGTTGTGTCTGACAGAAGAGCAGTGAGGCTTGCGGGATGAGAACCCAGAGGTGAGAGGTCAGGTGTATCTGGGTCCCAGGTCCGGACCCTTTAGGCCGGGGCTGGGGTACGTGCCGCCGGCAGGCCGCCTGAGGCCCGAGAATCACTGGCTCTGGCCCCGCCGGGGCCTCAGGGTGAGTT